TGTGGCGGCCGGCTGTGACGCTCCTCGTGCTGAAGCTCCCTCGGTTTTCTTGGAGAGTGACTTCCTTTGCTTGGATGAGCGTGGAGCTTCCTCGGTGCCTGCTCGCTCTGACCCGGTGCCTGGTGTGGTTCCTGCGGCGGTTTCGGCGGGTGCTCCCTCTGGCCCTGCTTGGTCTGGCTCTGGTACGTCTGACCCACCGGTGTGCTCTGTGGGCCTGGGAACTCCTGCCTCGGGTATTCTCCATTAGGTGGTTGCGGAGGTGCATTCGCGGCCGGTTGCTTCCGTGCGGTCCTTGGATGCTGCTGTTGGGGTGGTGCCTGCCTCCCCTGCCGCCGGTTGTCTGCTTCCCGAGGCTGCCGGGGTTGTGATGAGTGTGCCCTCTCCGCTGCCTTCTGCCTCTTCCCCGCCCTGTCTCTGCATCGACTTCCTCGTCGCCTTCGGTGGTCTCCTCGCCCCTGGTCCGTCTTCACCTGCGCCTGCCGTGTCGTCTGTGATGGATGCCCCCTGTGTGCTGAAGTGTGCTCTCCCGAATGCTGGGCCTGCTCCTTCTCCGGCTTCAGTCTCCGGGCGTGGTGGTGGACTTTTGCCCCGTGTTGTGGAGGCTTCTGTTCTGCGTGGGCGTGCTGCCTCGGCTTTGGGGCCGCCCACGACGGGGTCTTCTGGGGCGCCCCGTGCTGGGGGTCATAGTTCCGACGATCAGCAGCCTCATGTTAAGCGCTGTCGTTCAGCTCGGGCTGCGTCGTTCCGACGGTCGTGGGCGGAGGACCGTGATACGATGGAGGATGACGGTGTGGACGTTGCCGTGGTGACTTCTGTGGTGTCCTCCGTGTTGGAAGTTGTGCCCCCTGCCGGTGGCTCCCCTTCGTAGGCGGTTGCCCCTGGTGATTGGAACCTGGTGGTCGTGTTATCTAAGGATGGGCGTCGGGGGGCTTCAGCCCCTGTTCCGGTTGGCGGGGGCCCTAAGGGCTCCTCCGTGGGGCTCGGTGCGGTGCCTGGTGTCGATCGCTGTGCCCGCCCTGGGGTCCAGGCTGATGTGCAGCCGTGGGTCGCGACGGGCTGGGGGTGTCCGTAGATTGTCCCGATGGCGCCCTCTGCTGTATGTGCGTCCTTGAATGTTCGAGGTTTGAATGCTCTTGGGGTCCAGTTGGGCCTGTTGGATGTTCTGCGGGAGTAATGTGTGGATGTGGCTCTTATTCAAGAGCATAATGTTCATGATGTGTCTGTGTTGCAGTGTTTGAGTGTGCATTTTCATGTGGTGCTCAACCCGCCAAGGACGCCTTTTGGGGGGGACCCTTATGCTGTTTTCTCGGAGGGCTTCCTTCTCCGTGCTTCATACGGAAATGGACGAGGATGGGCGGGTGTTATTTGTGAGGGTGGAGTTTTTGGGGGTCGTCATTCTGTTCTTGATGGTGTACGCCCCCTCGGGGGTGGCGCGCCGTCGGGAGCGGGAAGAGTTTTTTCGGGTGGGGCTTCTCCCTTTCTTGCGTCATGATACGCGGGGCATGATTTTTTGGGGGATTTTAATTGTGTGACGAGTGCGCGGGATTGTTGTAGCGCTTGTCCACAGAATATCTCGAGTGCGCTGCTGGAGGTGGTGTGTTCCTGCGGTTTCCGGGATGCTGCTGTGCTCTTTGGGGGCGAGTTGTCATTTACGTCTGCTGCGCGTGGGGTGTGTTCGCGGCTGGATAGGGTGTATGTCACTGGCGGGGAATGTACGGTGTTTGATTTCCGCACTGTCCCGGTTGCGTTCTCAGACCATAGTTTGGTGGTGGTCCAGATTGGTGTGCCCAGTCAGGTGCAGGGTGGTGTAAGCTGAATTGTGGGTTATTGCTTTGTCCGCGGGTTTCTTGTCAGTTTTGGGGTTGGTGGGTCGGGGTTCGGGCCCGGCAGTGTGCGTTTTTGTCTATCTTGGAGTGGTGTAAGGTGCAGTGTCGTTTGTTCTTTCGCGTGGTTGCGAAACGTGAGGCTGCTGGGCGCTTTAGTTTGCTGCGGTTGTTACAGGCGCAGCTATCGAGGTTGTATGTGTGGTACAATGCTAGGGTTGATTGTTTTGGTGAGATTGTGGAATGAAAGGCGCGTATTTGTGGATTGCGGAGTGAGTGGGCGGAGGGTGTTCGTGTGCATGCTCGTGTGAGTGAGCGTGTGGACGGGGAACGAATCTCTCCGTTACTTCTATGGAAGGTACAGGCTGCCTGAGACTCTGTTCTTTTTACGGCCCTGCAACAACCGGATGGGTCCGTTGTTTCGGACACCGGTGGTGTGTTGCATTATGTCCGGCAGGAGTTGGCTGAGCTCTATGCGGAGGTGGCTGGGGATGCCGCGCTTGCGGAAGACTTCTTAGGTCGGTGCGTGCCTGGGTTGTCCGTTGTGGATTGTGCAGGTCTGGTGGAGGTGGTTTCCTCGGCGGAGCTATTTGAGGTGGTTCGGTCGTTTCGTTCCGGGAAGGTGCCGGGTTCGGATGGTCTTCCTGTTGAGTTCTATGTCGCCTTTTGGGATGTGTTGGGGGATGTTCTTCTGGAGGTGGTCCGGACTTGTCTTCGAGGGTGCATTCTGCCTATGTCTCGGTGCGTTGGGATTGTGCAGCTCCTCCTGAAGCCGGGCGATTTGCGGTTCTTCTCGAACTGGAGGCCCATTATTTTGTTGAAAGTGGACTACAAGGTCCTGTCTAAGGTCTTGGCTGGTCGGTGTCGCCGTGTTGTGGCGTCTGTTGTCTCTGTGGAGCAGTTTTGTGGCATTCCAGGTCGGTCTTTGTTGCATTGCAATGCATTGATTCGCGATGTGCTCCTGTACGTATCAGGCTCTCGCGCATCGGCGGCGATGCTTTGTTTAAATTGGTCGAAGGAGTTCGACCGTGTGTCGCTCACTTTTGTGTTTCGTGTGTTGGAGCGGCTGGAGTTTCCGCCTATGTTCGTTGGGTGCGCATGTTGTACGCTCAATGTTGTAGTCGGGGAGTGATTCTTTCCCTGTATGTCGCTCGGTGCGGCAGGGTTGTCCACTTTCTATGCTCCTGGATGTCATATTTCAGGAGCCTTTTTTTTGGGAGGTCAAGGCGTGTCCGTTGATCGGCTCCCCCCCCCCCCCCCTGGCTGCCCATCTGCGGATATGCGGATGATACCGTCTTGTTCGTGGCCTCAGAGGGGTCTGTTGGGGCTGTCCAAGTCGTGAATGAGCAGTTTGAGTTGGCCACTGGGGCCCGGGTCAATCGTGAGAAGTCCGGTCTTCTGGGTCTCGGTGGGTGGTCCTCTCGCCGTGTGTGGGTGGGGTCTTGGTTTCCGGTTGTCTCTTCTTTGCGTGTTTTGGGGATTACCTGGTTCGCTTCATATGAGCGGTCTTAATGACCTGTAATTGGGGTGCAGTTTCCCGTAGTGTCAGTGTTGCGATTGGGTTGTTGGCTGCACGCCCGTTGACAATTTATCAGCGGACGCTGCTTGTTAATTGCAAGGTTTTGTCGCGAGTTTGGTTCGTGGCTCGGTGCCTCCCCCTGGATCGCCGGCTGGCATTAGGGTTGGAACGCCAGGTCTATCGGTATGTGTGGTGCGGTCGTTACCACCCGGTTCGTCGGTCGACACTGGTGTTGGCTGTACGGGAGGGTGGGGTGGGTATTCCTGATGTGTTTACTAGGGCTCAGGCGTTGTTCTGGGTCTCGTTGTATCAAGGGTTAGTGCTGGGTGGGGGCTCAATGCTTTGGGTGTTTATTATTGCGCTATTAGGTTTAGCTTTTTGGTGGATTTCGGTGTTTGTCGGGAGGCGGCCTTTTGCACCCCTACTGTTTACTCTTGGGCGGTTGCCATTCTTCGGGAGGTCTGCCGTTGTGTGGGTTTCCTGTCCTTGTCGGCTAAGGCGGTATATGGGGTTTTATTTCGTCGTATTCCGCCGCGGGTGGAGGGTTTGTTCCCGTGTTGGGATTGGGGGGAGATGTGGGCGGCGTTGGGAGCTCGGTTTCTGGCGCCGCAGCAGCGGGAATTGTTGTTTCGTTTATTACATTTGTCGTTGGCGACGAATGCGCGGTTATGCATGCTTGGTTTGCGTGCCTCTGACGCGTGTGTGCACTGTGGTCTCCCTGAGACTCGGTTGCACAGTCTTCTATTTTTGTGAACGGTTGAGGGGTTTGCTTGATTGGTTTCGTGACGTGTTGGCCGAGGTTTGTGGGCCGGGGTGTCGAGATGGCCTTTTGGGGATTTTGTTTTTGTCTTTTCCGCAGGGATCGCACCGGGTGCACAATACATTGTCTTCTCGTTGCTGACTTTGTATATTGTGTGTGGGTGGGTCGGAGGGAAGGTTATGGGGACATAGTTGATGCCTATTTTATTAATTAATAATCAACCACCAGCTCAGTCTTTAAACGCTCTGTCAGAAACAAGATTCGTCTTACGTCTGGCAAGGAAGTTACAGACATACGTCGACAAGTGCATAAAATATTAAATAGTTTATTTAGCTCAATTTGACCTCTGGTTTTCACTGATGAACCCAGGGTCGTAACAGTCGCAAAAGAACCTCGTCTACCCATTCAATTGTTGCAATGTCAACACATCCACGTTCTTCCTAACGTTCACGTGTTATTTACCGTGAATCCATGAATGATTCAGAGCTCATGGCGAGAATATCGTTATATTTCGAGTGACGTTAATTGATGTAGCCACGTTCCTTAGATCACGTGGCTTGTTCCTTGGTCAGTGATGCAGACGTCAGTCTCCGGCGGATGTCCTGCTTTGAATGGCTTGTGTCGACACAAGCTAACTGGACTCCCAGCATCAACGAACCTATATATGAATCTATCAATCAGAGAACAGCAATTTCAAAGCCTTTCTTCTGATTTGTTTCCTTCTAAGAGCTCGTCTAACGTCACCATGGTTGAGTTGACTAAGATTATTTTTTTTAAATTATATATATGTTGTTTAAATATGTTAAATGGTTGGCAGTGGAATTGTTGGTATTAAAATATGGTTTCAAAGTGTGATTTACATGTGATAACATATTTTATCGTATATTGGTGTCCACAGGAGGAGCTTCAGGTGGGTCACCAGAGGACGAATGTGCTGCTCAACAAGCTATTGTGTCTAGCCAAGGAGGTGCTGCCATCAGGCGGTTTCTGTCTTGATAACAACAAATTAGTTGTTGGTGGTAACAACATGTGGAGTGGCCAGGTAAATTACACACGGGGTAAAGGGAAAGCAAAACTGAAACCCGCTGCGGACTCCGGTTGGGAACCTCAGGACTCGTAGTGGATTCTGCTGAATCCCAGGTTGTAATAATTTTGATGGTATCGTCAAGGGGGCAAGCTTGGGAGCATCAAGTGTGCAGGGGTTTAAATCCTCCTCGTGGCTCCAACAGATTTTATCATTGGTACATCACATTAATGTGATTTCATTGATTCTAGTTTTAACAAAATACAATGGGGGTTAGAATAATTATTTAAGATGGAAATCTCAGTAATCACAATGCGGGATAATTGAATAATGATCTACAGCAGTTCCTCAACCATTTTGAATCTGGTTAATATATATGTGGGACATTTGGGGCTTGACTCTATATATTAAATTATTAATGTAATAAAAATCAATTGCGAAGGACCACCCGCTTTTATAGTAAAAGAGGGAAACTAAGAAAAGATGATCATAAGCAAATTCCTAGATGAACCAGTAACTATGGATAAAATACTAGAGAATATGATCACTGAAATAATTAATGGGCTGTATAATTAAATGAATCAAAGCCTCAAACACCTACATTGGGGGGTTATTACTGGAACTCAGTACGTCCAGGAACTAGTGTGGTTCGTTCACCAGTCCAATGTATAATAATCTAATCCTATGAACATTTATGAAATTATTACCGTTATCATTAATGAGAACGTAGGTTATGAACATGAATAATAATAATCATAATAAACACATGTTAATCCAATGAACAGAGTTCTGCATGTAAAAGAGTACAGATAATAGAAATCGAGGAATACAAAAGGAATCTTAGCTTAAAGAAGATTTCCAAGAAGTTAGTCACAACTCATCCTCTGATTCTCCTGGACTCGTCATGGAACACTGGGAGTTGATTAACATGGGAAATGACAGCTCGGAGAACTCTGCACACACGCTGTAAATCAAAGTGTTTTCAGTAGCAACAAATTAAACTACTAGATTTCTATGTTCAATAAAATGATATTAATAATAAGGGAAAAATAATGACCTGTAGTTTGTTGTTGTCGCACAGCGTCACGACAAGCCTTAGACCCGGACACGCCCACCACCACCTCCCCTGTTTCCCTCCGTTCCATTCCGAAGGGTCCCCCTTCTGGTTCTCTGTCTAGGGCTCCCCTTCTTTCTACCCAGTCTGTCACGTCTCCTGTGTCTTCTTTTTCCTCTCCCTCTAGTCCTCCTTCCCGTCATTCTCCTCCGTCTCTTGGCTCTCCACGCCACCTGACTGTGCGGGCCGACGTCCATCGCTCTCCTGATGGTTGTGTTGTTCACTCTCGCTCTTCTTCTCCTATCGAGACGCTGGAGTCTGTTGCCCAGTACATTGCTGCTGGGACGCCCATATCTCTGAGTCAGAAGCGAAAACCTGGCTCCTCTCCTTCCTGGTCGGTAAGAAGGCTTCGCTTTCTTCTTCACCTCCTACCTCTGATTCTATCGTTTCTTCCCCTCCCGCTTCGGAGGTGGAGCCCCCTGTTCTTACTGGAGGGATTTCTTTAGCCCCCGGTTCCATCTCGGTTACTGCCCTTGCTGAGGTGCGCTCCCCTCTTTCTGCCCCTCCTCCTCCTCCTCCAGACCCTGCTCGTCCACCTCTGGTCTGTCCTCCCGCTTCTTTCCCTCCTTCTTTACTCAGTTTACCTATGCCCCCTAACCCTGACTTCGCTGACCCTGATCCTGTGCATTTTTAGTGTGCTGGGTTCCTTCTTCACCTTTGTTTCTTCTTTGCTCTCTGTTGCTCTCCTCTCTCTCTTTGCTGATGTCTTTTCTTCAATGAAACATCCGTTGATTTTACGGCAATTTCCTTGACCTCCAACTTCTCATTTCACAGTTTTCGCTCCTGTGTGTCTGTCTCCAGGAGCCGATGCTTGGTGCTCGTCCTGGTCGCTTCTGTGGCTATTCTTTTCTCTCCCGCCCCCCCCAACAACAGCTGGGGTCCATAATTATTCTGCTCTTGATTCGCTCCGATGTTCCCTTTGTCCCCTTATTTTTTCCTCGCCTCTCTACTGTTCTGCCGCCCGTGTCTTTGTGCGTAGATGGTACACGGTTTGTTACATTTATCTCCCCCTAACTGTCCCACTTTCTCTTCCCGATCTTAAACACCTCCTAGACTCCTTGCCAGAACCTGTGCTCTTGCTGGGTGATTTCAATTGTCGTCATGCCCTTTGAGGTGATGTGCTGACAAACACCCGGGGTCGCCTCCTTGAACCTTTCATCCTTTCTTCTTCCCTGTCCCTTCTTAATTCTGGTGAGCCCACTCATTTGGACTCTCGGACTCGTTCCTTTTCTTGTCTCGATCTTTCTCTGTGCTCGCCATCCCTTTCCTTAGATTTCGGGTGGCGGGTCTTTGATGACCTTCATGGCAGTGACCCATTTCCTATCCTTGTTTCTTTTTTCTCTTTTTGCCCTCCTCTCTCCTTCCCTAGGTGGCGGTTTGCCGAGGCTGACTAGCTCCTCTTTACTCTCCGTGCTACTATTTCCGACCTCTCCGCTCTGCCTCTCCCTCGCGCCCTCCTTCTTTTTCATGACACTGTCTTTGACGCTGCCCTCCACTCTATTCCTCGCTCTTCCTCTCGGGAAACGCGGAAGTACGTTCCCTGGTGGAATATGGACTGTGCTCGGGCTGTCCGCTCTAAGCGTGCAGCCTGGAAGAGACATCGCGGCCGGCAGACGGTTGAGTCTTTTCTTTTGTTTCGGAAGGCGAGTGCATTGGCCCGTAGGACCATCCGTGCGGCTAAACGGGCTTGCTGGGCGTCTTATGTCTCCACCGTTACGTCCGAAACTCTCCCACTGGTTTGGAAGCGTATCCGCAGGATTGCGGGTAAGTTCGTTCCCGATGTCTCACCGGTCCTAAGCCTCCATGGTGCTCTTGTGGCGGACCCGTTGCAGTTTGCGACCGAACTGGGTTCCCATTTCTCCTCTGTTGGTTCTGGTTCTCATCTCCCCTAATCCTTCCTTCTTCGTAAGCCTCTTCTTGAATCTCATCCTTTAAATTTCTGTACTTTTCTTCACCTTCCCTATAATGATCCCTTCTCTCTCTCTCTGAGCTTCAGTCTGCCCTAGCCCTTTGCGATTCTATGGCAACGGGCTCCAATGGCATTCATTATGAAATGCTTCGCCATCTCCCTCCGTGCACGTCTCAATATTTATTGAGTCTGTACGATCAGGTCTGGGAGTCGTCGTCGGTCCCTGAAAACTGGCTCAGTGCTGTTGTCCTGCCTGTTCGGAAACCAGGGTCTCTCGGGTCATCCCCCAAGGACTTCCGCCCTATTGCCCTCACGAGTTGTGTCTGCAAGCTCTTTGAACGTATGGTTAACGTTCGTTTGATGTGGTTCTTAGAACACTTTCACCACCTCTCCCCTTCTCAATTTGGTTTTCGCAAGTGCCGCAGCACGACAGATGTCCTGGTGAACTTGGAGGTCTATATTCGTACTGCTTTTGCTGCGAAGACCTCCGTTGTTGCCGTCCTTTTTGATCTGGAAAGGGCTTACGACACTACCTGACGGTATCATATTCTGTCTCAACTTCATTCTTTTGGCCTTCGTGGGAACCTCCCTCTCTTCCTCCAGAGCTTCCTCTCTCGCCGTTCCTTTCGTGTGCGGCTTGGTACTGCTCTCTCTGCCCATTTTCGGCAGTATGAGGGTGTGCCCCAGGGTAGTGTTCTGAGCACTACTATTTTTCTAGTTGCCCTCAACGGTCTTCTTTCCTCTCTTCCTTCTGGCGTCTTCTCTGCTCTCTATGTTGATGATCTTACCCTTTGCTGTCGGGGTGACGATTCACCTCTCCTTCAACGGCGGCTTCAACTTGCGATTGATGCCGTGTCGTCTTGGGCCACCGATCATGGCTTCAAGTTCTCTGCGTCTAAGACTTGTGCTATGACTTTTACTCGGAAGTATGTCGTTCTTCGTCCCTCTTTGTCGCTTTATGGTCATCCCATTGTGTACAGGGATTCCGCAAAGCTCTTGGGGTTAGTCTTTGACACTCATTTGTCTTGGTCACCCCATATCTCTTATCTCCGAGTTGAATGCTCTAAGGCCCTTAACCTACTTAAGGTTTTGTTCCATACTTCTTAGGGAGCGGATAGGCACTCCTCTCTCGTCCTGTCTAAACTCGATTATGGTTGCCCTGCTGAGACGCAACCCATATTGGGTTGCGTCTCGGCTCTGGTGCCTTTCGTTCGACTCCCGCCCTCAGTTTGTATGTTGACACTGGCTTTCTCTCTCTTCAGGACCGCCGTGATCGCTACTGTCTTCGCTATCTTGCGTGGTCCTTACAACATCCTTCCTCTCGCCTCTGTCGTGCTTTGACTTTTCCTCCTCCTGTAGCTCCTGTTCCTCTTCGACGTCTCCCACTTTCTGTCCGGTTATCTCGCTTACAGGATTCTCTTTCTGTTCATATTTCTAATGTTTCTCCTCATATTGTTACTTCCTTGCCTCTGTGGAGAGTCCCCCTAACCAAGTTTTGTACGTCCTTGACTTGTATTACTAAAGCCTTTACCCCTCCTATAATTCTGAAAAGCCTCTTCCTTGAGCACTTTTCTTCGCACTCCCACTCTATTTCCATCTTCACCGATGGGTCTAAGTCTGCGGACGGTGTGGGTTACTCTGTTGTTTTTCCTGACCGTACTTAAATGTGTCGCCTCCCTTCGGAGGCTAGCGTCTTTACGGCGGAACTTTATGCTATTCTCTATGCTCTCCGTCTCTTACTTTCTCATTCTCATTCCTCCTTTGTGATTGTAGTTGACTCTCGTAGTGTCCTCATGGCTCTAGGGTCCTTTAATCCTGTCCATCCGGTGGTCATCGAGATTCAACATTGCCTGTTTCTTATTTCTAGTAAATTTAAATCAGTAGAGTTTTGCTGGGTTCCCAGCATATTGGTGTTTCTTTTAATGAGCGTGCGGATGCTGCCGCTAAGGAAGCTATTTGTTCTTGTCCCATCTCCCGTAAAGGTATTCCTTATTC